TATTATTTTGTGTGTAAACCTTACAGTATCTGATAAAAAATACAATCAACTAATCTAAGGTAAACTAAAACACTAGGTTGTTTCTGAAGACTCACTTTAGAATTTGAGCAGTACAATAATCGTAATATTAGTAATCAAACTACTTAGCAGAAAGTTCTTAGAGGCCTGGGAAGCTGTGTATAAAATGGAGTAGACAAGAGGGAAGGGTTTTCCGTACTGTTTAAATCAACTACAGGTCCCAGAATGCAGTGCTCCAATCTGAAGTTAAGCAAAAACTGCAATGCATACTGGGACTTGTAGTAAGTAAACCACGTTATCACAGCAAGTTTCAAGAAAGTCTGAACTATCTAGCACAATTTGACTGTATCTTATTATCAGGGTCTAATCAAATTTAGATCAAATTCGTATATTCTCTGCTGTGGCACACAGTTTCTCTAGCACATACTGGAAAAAGTATCAATATTTAGATCAACATTTTCACATTAGAAAAATCTTACGTAGGAGAAGCAAAGAAAAAATGCTTAAAAAGCAAAAAGACTTGATATAATAAAAAATATAATTTTTGAAACAGTTTTTTTAAAGTTTGAATGGATCCATTTTAACACTCTCTAATCCTCCCCCACAAAAAAGTTTAATTGTTTTGGCTGGTCACGGTGGTTCACGCTTGTAATCCCAACACTTCAGGAGGCTGAGGCTGGCGGATTACAAGGTCAAGAGAGCGAGACCATCCTGGCCAACATGGTGAAACCCTCTCTACTAAAAATACAAAAATTAGCTGGGTGTGGTGGTGTGCGCCTGTAGTCCCAGCTACTCAGGAAGCTGAGGCAGGAGAATCACTTGAACCTGGGAGGTAGAGGTTGCAGTGAGCTGAGATCATGCCACTACACTCCAGCCTGGTGACAGTGCGAGACTCCATTTCAAAGAAAAAAAAAGCTTAATTGCTTTAACAGGTTGCCTTTTAACAATTATTCAAGATATATTTTATAAATAATTTTTCTTGAAGAAAATTCTCAGAAGCAAACATTTCCCATATTCTAATATTGCCCAACAGGAAATAATTTTTATAGTAATATGTACACACACCATCACAAAAACAAAAAATACTGAAGTTCTACTTTTGTCAAGTCCTTACTCAGTATTTATGCCCTCCATTCCTCACCTCTAATTCCCTACACACACACACACACACACACACACACACACACACACTTCTAGAAAGAAAAACAGTATTCAACTACAAGCCCACTTCTCTCATCCACTGACCTCTTCTGAAAACACAAAAGACTTTTTTAAGCTATCAGTAATACGTCCAAACACAAGCTGATAGGTTTGAATTGGAATTTACATATATACAGTTGCTACACACCCTCCTATTTTCTGCAAGACTGTGGAAGGAGGCTGGGAAAGAACTAAGTGCAATCTGCATCAGGAGGCCTAACACAGGTGGTGGGTTATTTTCAGGCAACAGTACCTTCACAAACATGTTTTGGAATATAGTCCAAGAAATTCCTAACAAGGAAAGATAAGCTGGCACACAAATTTAACGCAATCCAGCTAAAAATCATCTGCAACACATGCTACTACATTTCACCATAAAAGTGACGGGCTACTATAAAGGATTTGAAGCTTCATCAATACAACATATTGTCCATAAGGCCAGAGATAGCAGTTGCCATGGTTACTATCACCCACTTTTATCAGGAAATTATTGTCATTACCCCAAAGTTTGGGGTACTTATTTAAAATTTAAAAAACACACACACACAATTTAGGGTTCTGACTGTTAATTGAGTGAAAGAATCAACTACTGTTTGATTTGTAAGTATGTCGCTTTGGAGATGCACATGGTTAACAATACTTGGATCTGCAGCAGAAAAAAAAAAATCAATTCCTTTCTGCTGCTCCTTCTCCTCAAGTACTGACAGTTTGTATTCTCAATGCAGCCAAAACAATAAAACAAAACCCATCTTTTTGGCTTCTGTGTTTAAGTTATTTTTTCCCCCTAGGCCCACGAACAGAGTCAAAATAAAACCTAGATCATCAACCTGTTAGGCCTCATCCCCTTCCTATCTCCTCCATACTGGTTCACTTTCTTGACTACTTAAAAAAGCAGAAAACATTTCTGTAACTGATTCCAAAGTATAGAAAAGAATAGTTGCCTTCAACTGAGAAATTTTCACCAAAGTCTTTTTTATTTATTTATTTATTTTAAGGCAGGGAGAGGGGAGAGACTTGCAGGGTACTAGAAGAGAGAAGTGGAGGAGTATTCAAATTGCCACAGAAGTCTAGTGTGAGAAAGTTGCTTTAGAAGAGTCCAAAGGATGGCTGAACCTCACATATAATTTCTAAAAGGGAAGAGTTCACCGTAATTTTAAGACTGAATTGATGGACAAGTAATAGAAAAGTTATTCATAAAAGTCTACTTCAACATTTTCACAAAAGATAACTATTCAAAAATTTAACACACATATAAGAATTACACGAAAGCCGACAAAATAGTATGGCTACATATACACACAAACATCCAAAGTAGAAAACATACGCTATTTAAGAAATAATTATCTACAATAAATTTAATGCAGTGTCAACATATTATCTCTTTTTTTAAAAATCGCAAAGCAGCAAAAATATACACCTGAGAAAATTAATGTGATCAAAATGTATTTCTATGCTTCTAAAGAATTATTAGGCCTACAAAAAAAGCCCATGTACAAAAGTTCCTGAGAAGTCAACATAAATCATTAACATTTCCCAGCACAAAATAATATGAAAATTCAAACATGTTTCAAGAAATCAGTTATAGATATAAATATAGAAGAATTTCACCAAAGGTCAGAGACCTAAAACTTTAATTCCTTCCCTTCTCTCTTTGAATAGTAATTAAATACAAAAGCCTTCAGCAATAAAATACTAAGAATACAAAATTTAAAAGCACATTAATATAACCTTAACTTCAGTATGTCTTCACAAAGAGCTTTACTATTCACTGTCTGTAGGATGAAAAAGTTAATAACACCCTGAGAGGTTTCATTTTTATCTAAACAGTTAAGTGTTTTTCTCACCCTTCACAGAAGCAAGTTTCTATATTTACTTTCTAAAGGGGGCAATTTCAAAAGAACAGTCACTTCTAAAATTTAAGATACTATATACCTTTTGATAAGCTCACAAACACAGGGTCCTTAATTATCTATATTTTACTTTAAAATGTTTATATTCCAAATTTGTGAGCAGAGTTTATAAGAAAGCTGAAACTCCAGGCTTTAAACTTTTGGGTTATTTTTACACAAAAATATTTCAGTGCACTCCTCTAGATTTGAGTAGTCATTTCCTCGTGCATCCTTCTAAAATAGAAAAAAAAAAAAGATATAGCCACATATACCTAATACTAACACATACAGATATACATCTTTTTCACTGTGAAACAAGCTTGAAAGCTTTAGGCAGTAAGAATTTTTCAGAAAGTTAGCGGAGTCAGTCAAAATATTCAAAACTTTAACCATGACATCTGTTACTCTGTGTTAATAAGAGTCTATAGAAGAATCAGGGAACTTACACACTCACTAAAATCAACTACTATCACATCACATCAATGGAGAAATGAAGAAAAACTGTAACAGGGGACATACAATTCACAGGATCTTCAAAAGGGAAAATGACTTTTTTTTTTTTGCATATATTATGGGAAACTGACAAGGCAGCATTTTTTCAAAAGCAGCTTCAAAACTGTAACAAAGACATTTTTGGTAACCACAGCAGTATTTAAAAACACAAATTTAGGCTGGGCAGGGTGGCTCATGCCTATAATCCCAGCACTTTGGGAGGCTGAGGCAGGTGGATCACCTGAGGTCAGGAGTTCAAGACCAGCCTGACTAACATGGTGAGACCCCGTCTCTACTCAAAATACAAAACTTAGCCGGGCGTAGTGGCAGACACCTGTAATCACAGCTACTCAGGAGGCTGAGAGGCAGGAGAATCACTTGAACCTGGGAGGGAGAGGTTGCCATGAGCAGAGATCATGCCATTGCACTCCAGCCTGAGCAACAGACCGAGACTCTGTCTCAAAAAACAAAAAAACTTACAGTGCCCAGTGCCCTTTAAATGTATTACTTTCTCAATTGATACGGAAGAAGTTAGCATTTTAAGACAGAAGCTTCTGTCCATGTATCAATTAGTTACCTATTTCAACAATTTAATATCCACATGCTTTCTTACCACTCACGAAGAACTTTTATATGTATTATCTCATTTGGTCTTACTGAGAAAACAGTATTTTGCCTACAAAATAGACAAAATTCAAAGCAGATTTATCAAGTTTCTAGCATCCCCAAATTTTTAAAATTTTGACACAAAACTTTAAAAGCAACCACAGTGGCATGATATTTCCAGTGATAATCAATTCTCCTAACACTAACAGAGTTTCAAAGGACCATGCGCTATAAATGCTATGAAACTGTTAAAGTAGCTATATTCATCTTTATGCAGTTATTGTTATATCAGCAATGACCTACCACTGATAGAACTTGATTTACAGTTCAAGAATCTCAGTCTTTGCAGGCTAACTTAAGTACATCAACCATATGTATTTATAAAGCTGAGTGCCTAAAAATTGATCTATATTAGAATCATAGTCCATAAATCCGAGGGGAAAAAACTACAAGTCTAAATTTTTTTCCACACACTATCCCCCTTTCCAAAATCTCAACTACTCTATATCCTATTTGTATTATCATAGGGATGATAACAAGACTTAAAGCCCTAAATCATACCAACTACTTTTGTTTATAACAATTACAAATACTTTTTTAAAATACGTGCTCAACACCCCACTCATCAACACAAGACTAATTCCCCTTCCAAATAAAATAATTCTAAACAGTGCTCTGTACCTAGGCCCAGAATCCTTAAGCTATCCACAATCACACATCTACTTTGTACAGTCAAAGACTTCAGTTTCAAGTAGCTAACATAATTTATGAATGGAATTTTTTAAATGGACTTACTCAAAATCTTTCTGGAACTTTAAGGTGTTAATCCTGCTGCTTAGCTGAAGCTAAGTAGAGCTGTAATAAGTAACAAGACCCTCAAAATTCACAAATTTCCTTTATCTTGCTGTAGCACCTCCTGCTGGATAGCATTTAGAGATCTTCATGTAAGCAGAAGAAGAGTATTTCAGAGGCAGCTCCTTCCAGACGACTGAATAGGAAAAAGGATGGACCCTTCAAAGCTAAAAGAAATAGGCCCCATCCATCACTTATACCTTCTAAAAATACAATTTAGCCCAGGTAGGTGTCTTTTTCATCTATTACTACTCCAGTTCCACAAAGACTTGCCTGAGTCCAAAATAAAACATGCTTAAATACAGCCTGTAAAATTGTCTAAAAACTAAGTTAAGAAGTCTTCAATAGCACCCAAGCAGAAAACTTTATTATGGGCAGCCAAGCAATGCCAGTCAAACTGCAAATACCATTACATTACCAAAAGCAAAAGTCTGATGTTAACAAAAAAAAAAACAAAAAAAAAAGGCCCCTGGAATATTTGTAACATGTTAGCCAGATGTTTGTGTTTTGAGAACTTTGTGCACTATTACTATGCTCTTCACTTAAGGATAGTTGTACATCTACAAACATTTTAAGTACAGACTTTTTTTATAAGCATTAGCATAACTGCACACAAAATTTCTTCTTTTCTATTAAAAGATAGGTACTGGGATTTGAAAACGTATTTTTCAGACATTTTTAATGACCCCCTAAAATAAACTAGTTTTAAGCCCACAACACAGACTCCATAAACAAGTGAAGAAGAGAATAAGAAGGAACTTACCAAAATTAAAATGAATAATAGTATTTCCAGTAAAAATGTAGTAACAGTTTCCAACAATGCTGTAAACCAAGTAAATTGTGAAACTTAAAAAAGGAAGGAGGGGGCCAGTCTTCAAAGACCAAAAGCAAAGCTGACCTATTTATTTCTATTGCTTAGAGTGAACACCAGATGTAAACAAATATCATAAACACTGAAAAGTATGCTTACATGGTTTAGCCCCAGTTTCAGTACCCTTACCAGGCCGTCAATAAAGCTACAGATGTTGGTGAGAATCCTCTCAAAAAGGAGATAATTCCAACCCCTCACCTTAAAGAATCCCTATCAAGTGAACCTGTGAAAAGACTTCCTTCCCATAGTGCACAACTGCTTTAAAAAAAAAAAAAAAAAGAAAACTTTCATCAGCCCCAATTAATCTGATTCTAATATTCAACTATCCATTATTTATATATAAACGTTCTTCCCCTCTCTAACTTCCCCAGCTCAAGCATCTACATTCCTGACACTGACTATTAGCAAAAATGCACAACTCGTTCCTCAGCTATGGGGCAAATCTTTGAAATCCGAAACACAGTCACAAAGTTCACTGTCAAGGCCAGGTGATGAGGCCCACACATGCCCGGACCTTCACTCAGATTTCAAATTCTAGAAATCCATACTCCCAGAGACATCATTCTAAAAACAACACAATGTGGACGTGCAGAGTGAGATCCTCTACTTCCAGACCTAAACAAAGAATATTTCAACATATGACCGGAATATGATGACACCAGATTCACCAATGAAAACAAAACCTGCCGACCATTAGCAGTCGTACCCTCATCACAACAACTCAACTACTTAGAAATCACTCTCGGCACATCTGCACCCCACAACCGGCCTGTGGCCTTCTCCGGGGGTGCAAGCCACAGACAAAGTTGAAAGAAGGCGTTCTCCCCCGGTGCCCAATCTCGATACCAACCCCTCCCCTACCAGGGCCACCTTGCTGCTACCCACCATCGCGAACGTGGTCAGGGGGAAAAAAAAAAAGAAATCCTAACAGCACCGCTCAGCAGAATAAAGAGACCAAAGAGAGGATGACGAGAAGTGTTGGGAACTGCGTGCACGACGGGGCTGGACCAAACGGAAAGAGTCCCACTCCGCGCGCCCCTCCCCCCGGCGGGGGCGCGGGCGGGGGAGGGGCGGCCGCGGCCCCTCTCGGAGCGGCCTGTCCGCCCCGGCCCGCTCGGGGTCCCGGGGACGCCCCGCAGCCGCCGGCGGCGGGGGCGAATGCGAGAGGGCCGGCCCCGGGGTGAGGGGTGCAGGCAGACTCTCCGGAATAACAAGTTGCAGAAGAAGAAGAATAAGCGGAATTTCCCCAACGCTGCTCCGGCCACCCAAGACAAATGCACCAACACACTCACACTCACACACACACATACACAAACACACACACTCGGGCCCGGCAGCGTCAGCAGCCGCAGCTTTTTTTTTTTAAACCAGATCCCTCAGTCACCAAACAAGATGGTTTTCCAAAAAAAAATTTTTTTAATTAAATAAATAATCATAATAAAAACTTCCCCCCGACAGCATCCCGGGGTGGGGTGGGGGGGATGGAGGAGCCCCAGCTACCCTCCCCGGGCCGAAGGACAGCCGAGGGGGGCGGGCGAAGCTCCGTGCCCCCCGCCCCCGCCCGCAGCCCCCGGCCGGCCCCCCGCCGGGACAATGTGACGCCCCCTCCCCGCCGCCCCCGGCACGCCGCCTCTGTCACCCGCTCCGGCCCTGCACTCTGCGCCCAGGCTCCCGAGGCTGCTCATAAACTTACTTCCAATTTATCCTGGGGAGGGGTGGAGGGCAGAGGGGAGGAGTGGGGGAGCCAAGGTTTTCCCATTGTCTTTTTTTTCGGGGGGGGGAGGTATGGGAAGGGCACGCAGGGGGGCGCCCCGAAGGGGAAGTTATTGCTCAAATCTCAAGTTGACTGAGGGGTCCTGACGAGAACACCCCCCTTTCCTTCCTCCCTCCCACACACCCCTCCCTCCCCTACCTCCCCCACAACAAACTCAGAAGCAGGCAGCCCTGATCCTCCAGAGACAAACACCAGCGACAAGACAGAGGGAGAGAGGCAGAGGGAAGGGAGGGAGAAATAGAGCTACTCCAGAAAAAAAGAGAGGGGAGGGGAAATAGAGCTACTCCAGAAAAAAAGAGAGAGAGGAGAGTGAGGAGAAGAGAGAATGGAAAAGCTGGGATACTGCACCCTCCTGCTGCTGGCTGGCTGTCCCCCCTGGCAGCTGGAGGCAGGAACTCTGAGCAGGAGAAGCAGGAGGAGGAGGAGGAGGGAACTCTTCTTCATGGGGAGGGAGGGAAGAAGCTGGAGCTGCTGCTGCTGCTTCTGCTGCTGCTCTGGGCCTCTCGCACTTTTTAGATATTAGTGTGTTAAGATGGTAGGTTGTTCCCTTCTCCCTCCTCCTCCTCCTCCTCTCCTCTCCTCTCCTCTCTCTCTCACTCACTCTCTCTCTCTCTCTCTCTGGGCTGTTTCTTTCCTCCTCTTCCCCAGGCAAGGGGGGGTGGGGAGGAGGGGGTTGGGGGGAGGAACTGGATCCTCCTCCTCCTCCAGGAGGGACACACACAGGCCCCGGGCCGGAATCGGGAGGGGGGAATCAGAGCAGCAGGAGAGAAACTGTGGGAGACAAACAAGCCCAACTCTTCATCCTCCTCCTCCTCCTCTCAGCAGCAGCAGCGAGCACCACCAGCCCATTCACCACCCGGCCCCGGGCCGCAGCACCTCCGCCGCCTCAGCCCGGGGATCCCTCCGCCCAGGCCCAGACACACTCGCCCGCGCGGGAGCCCGCCGCGCGGCCCCGCCGGCCCGCCGCCGCCGTGCGCGCCCCCGCCGCTCCCGAGAGCCGGGCGAGAGGGACTGGGGCTGGGAAAGCGGGGACGAGGGCGAGGGGAGAGGAGGCGCCGGGGGAGAGCGGGCCGCGGCGGGGAGGGAGGGGGCCGCCGGGCGGAGTGGTACGGCGGCCGTCCCGGGCCCCCGCGCCTCGGCCCGCGGCTCCCGGGACGCTCGGGTCCCCCCACCGGGGGCGGTGGGGCGGCGGCAGGGGGGGCGACGGGGGCCCGCGGCGGCGCTCGGGCGGGCGGACTACTTGACGTGTCGGTGCGGCGAATTTATTTCACTTTGCCTAAGGAACGGGGTGTGCTGCGGCGCCCATTGCCTAGGGAAAAAACCCGGATGTAAAGTGAGTGAAACTAAACTAGAGTGAAGTAGGGCAGCGGCAGCCAAACTCCAGTGCAGCGGCGGCGGCGGCCGTGATGGGGCCCAGCACTGAGCGGCAGCGAAGGCGGCCAAACTCCGGGGCCGCCGCAATCCCGGGCCCGTGCAGCGCCGCAGCTCGGCTCCCGTGCAGCCGCAGCCGAGGCGAGGCCGGAGCCCGCGGCGGCCCCCCCAACTCCGCGGCCCGAGCCCAACTCCCCCCTCCCGCCGGCGGGAGCTGCAAAGAGGCTCCGGAGCGGCCCCAACTCCCTCCAGTGCAACAGCAGTTTGAAGGGGGTGGGGGGAAGCCGTGAGGGGTAGGAGCGAGGAGAAGCGATGGGGAAGCACTGCAATGGGGGAGCGTGGTCCAGGCAACAGGAGAAAGATGCAACCTCAAGTCGAATGCAACATGCAATCCCCGGCCGCCGCTCGCCCGCTCCCGCCCCTCGCCACCCCGCCCCCTTTCCAAATAACTACCCTTGAACCACTTTATTAGCAGTACTTAGTCCAGCACTCGCTCCCGGGAGGGGCGGGGGCCGGGGGCCTTCGCTCACCTTTATTTATTGCTGCTTTCTCCCCCCTCTCCATGTTTTTTATTCCTAAGTTCTTTTGTTCTAAGGGGGATGATGGCATTTACTTTTCTGCTTTGTGTAGCAGGGCAATCACTGGGAATCGGCCACGTATAATCCGGCGGTTTGTCATATTTTATTAGTGAAAGTATTTTATGCCTATTCTACCTCCAAGGACTGTAACATGGAGAACTGCAGGGAGGAGAAAAACATCAGAAGAATTCTTGTTTTGAGAGATTTCTTGGTGGGGCGGGGGAGGGCCCTTTTTTCCTTTTTTTTTTTTTTTTTGGAGGGGGTTTATTTAGATTTTCGAATCGATAGTTTTCAACTTGAAGCTTAACGTTTTTGCATGGATGTATTACCAGATTCTAAACCCCCAACCACAGTAAATTTTTTAAAAGTAAAAAATCGTAGATTAAAAAAAAATCCCTACTGGACAGTGATATTATCTGTTCTGTGCAGCTACGCTGGACTTAACATAGTGTTGGCCTTCGAATGTTAAATAACAATAAACCCCAACCTCAACTGAATACAAATGGGGGGGTGGGGGTGGTTTTGTTTTTAAGGCTCAGCACTTTTGTAGCATCTGCCACTACGCATTTTCCAGGCATTGATTAGCCATGCAACTCCCATAGGCATGAAGTCCAGTTTTTGCAGATAAAGAGCAACAGTGGGGAGATGATTTGCCCAAAGTCAAAGTGAGTCATTCGCAGAACCAGAAATAGCCTTGGACTTTACTAGTCACATCTTTTCCATTAAATAATATTTCCTTCAAGAAATAGTATTTAAAAATAGACGTTCTTTACCTTGTTATGTATTTTCACCAGAGGTGCTTTGAGATCATTGGATATGAAGGTATTTTTTTACTTTTGTGACCTGCAAAATTAAGTTTAGTTTCTCAAGAAACAGCAATTTTTAAAAATTCTGATTTAAAAAAAATAAAATATGGACTTTATGGTACATGTGTAGGCCATTTAATTGTCTGAGCTTTATGTTAAAAAAAATTCACAGCAGAGAAAGTGTAAGAGTTTGAGAGTGAAAATGAAAATTCCTATAAATGATTCAAGAAGCCTGGATGAACTCATATAATGTTGTGAAACTAAACCCGTAACGCAGTCAAGATGAATAACGGGAGGACAGGTGGGTAGTAAGACCCAGCTTTACCATCTAGAG